CTCAAGATGGTCAGTGCCACAGAAGAGCACAGGTACTATGAGACTGAGGAAGGGGGCACTAGAAGGGCCAAACCATGAGGATCTTATAAGTAAAAGGATTTTGACTTTATTCTAAAAGTAATAGCCCCCGGTCAGGCGTGGCTCAGCGGTTGAGTGTCAACCTGGGATCCAGGCGATAGGGGTCCGATTCCCAGTCAGGGCACATGCCCAGGTTGAGGGCTTGATCAATGACTCTCATCATTGATGTTTCTATCTCTCTCTCCCTCTCCTTTCCTCTATCTGAGATCAATAAAGATATATTTTAAAAATAAATAAAAAATAAAAGTAATAGCAAACACTTCCATGGCACTTACTAAGTATCTGACATTATTCTAAGTATTTTATGTGTATTAACATTTTCATCTTAACACAGGTCTACTATTTATACCAGGATTTTACAAATAGAGAAACTGAGGTTCAGGAAGGTCTCACAGCTTGACTAGAGTCAAATCATCTAGTCTGAATCCTTTCTCTTAACCACTATGTTACAGTGCTTCTGCAGGGCCATTGTTCTTATGGTTATTGAGAACAATAAAAAACCATTAAAGGGCTTTGAGCATGGGTTGATGCTAGTAGTTTTGTCTTTTTCAGAGTTTGTTCTCACTTCAGGGTGACTGTATCCTGAAGGAGAGCCCAGCTTCCTGTAAGTGGACCGCTGCTCTATTCCAGGCAAGAAAGGATAGTAACATAGATTATGGTGATGGTTGTAGACAGAGAGAAAGAATAATGATATCAGTAGATGTTTAGAAAATAATATTGACAAGTTAAATGGACAGTTGATTATAACAAGTATAATGCTTGGCATTGACTTGGTTGATTAAATAATTACAAAGAGAAGCAAACTTTCCATTGTTTACGAATTCAGTTTTTCACTCAGTGACATTTTCATTCATACATGAAGGTAGGAATTAAATCTGAGTAACTTGAATTCTTTCTTAGCATTCTTTCCATCACACATATATTACAGTTTTATTAAGTTCCTCATTGGAAACTTAGCTGCAGATTAAGTGGTAAAGTCAAAAAATATCAAAATAGCAAAATATAAACTGCATTATGTTTTATTAATTCAAACACAAGGCTTAATGATAGCAGATGGTTGTGATCATCCTAAACAGGTATGATCAGAAGGCTCAACAAGAAGTCTGTACTGGAGGCACTCTATGGCAAGGAGGCAATTGGGAGAAAATGTGACTGCTGTTTCTGAACACACTATTTTTTCATATTTTTATTCTGAAATTAAGGCAAATAAATTAAGTAGACACCATGGTGTAATGTAGTTGTATAAATCACTGAGATGAGCTTTTTGCTAAGGGACAAATGGATTTGGTAAAAATTATTTTTAACCCAATGTTGTCATTTAAAGTGGCACTGAGTACTTCCACAGAAAGATTCTTCTGTGGACAGCTCTGCTGACTGTGAGCGAATGACAGTCTCAACTCTATTGTTATTATTAATAACAATATATATATTACCAGTAAAAGTCTAAGTACACATAACCTGGTACAAAAAATGTGACATTTATTTTCCACTGAGGGTCCTCATTTCTCAGGGAGCAGAAACTTTGAGACACTTCAGGATCATTTAAGCCCCCTTTACCCTAAGAAATATTGAGGTGTTGAATTGCTTTCTTAGGGTCAAGGCTGTGCATGGTATGGAGACTGAGGCAGGCCTAAGGACACTTCTTGACACTATTGTCTTTGCAGGCTGACATGGACCTCACTCAGGAGGTTAGACCTCACTCTATCCATGCCACTCTCTGTGGACTAAGCATTTGTCATCTCTGGTATAGACAGACTCTTTCATGGACATGAAATGTACACCTAAGCACAGTCTATCAGGACATAAATTATCTACAGATCTAAGACCAGGTAAACAAGAGAATAGAAACAGACAACTTTCTGCAAATCAAGCAACTCAAACATGTACCTTGCTGATAGAAGGTCAAGAAGATATTCGAGTACAGTAATGACTAAGCTCAAGGTCATATGTAGGAGTGACCCTTTATATAGTATTTTTAAACTTTAGGGAAATATAATGAACGAATTAAAAAGTCAATTCATTAGGAAGCAAGTCAGAGTAAAATAGGAGGTATAAAAGAAGAATGGAGCCCGGCCGGCATGGCTCAGCAGTTGAGTATTGACCTATGATCTAGGAGATCTCATTTGGATTCTGGGTCAGGGCACATGCCTGGGTTGCTGGCTTGGTCCCCACAGAGGGTGTGCAGGAGGCAGCTGATCAATGACTCTATTATTGATGTTTCCATCTCCCTCTCCCTCTCCTTTCCTCTCTCCCTGAAATCAATAAAAATATATTTTTAAAAAAGAATGGAGAAAAACTAAGAAAAAATGGATATTTATATCAGAAGCTCAGCTATATATTTGAGTTTGTATGTTACCAATTGTAGCTTAAGAAAAAGAAGCAGGGATGTTTTCTGGCCATTTGTGTTTATTCCTAAATTTAAGTTTCTGCAGCTTAAGCATAAAAGTCTGCCACAAGGAGAGCCAGGTGGTCATGTCTCCCCGGCCTCATTTCTTTGCCTGCATCTCCTCACAACTTCATATCACATTATGAAAATTGGTAAGAGAGGAAAAAAAGACAGAAAGCCTGAATCACTTCTGTTCAGTAGTGACAATAAATGTGCCTGCAATGCAAAAGGCTCTCCAGGCACAATACTTTGAAGTTACAGTTCTGCTATTTTGCTGAACCGAAAAGACATTCCTTCTCTTTGGTCTTAAAAAGTTGTTCAGCATTCCCATTTTAATAGCGAGTAAGCATGAACAAAACAGCTTCTAATAAACACAAAAGCTGTTTCGCCTCATTATAGTGGATGACAAGTGAGATCTTGCAGCTTCACATCAAATCAGTGGAAAAACAATTATCTGTAAAAAATATGTGCAAACATTTTTCCTCTAAAGCCAAAGATTCAAGGCAACGTGTCTGGAATGTGTTTCTCCCTTTAGGCTGCCTCCATTCCATGAAACATCTGTCTCAGTTTCCGCTCTTCCTGGCGCCTCCTTTTGGTCTCCCTGCCTATCTATTCCTGCTGAACCTGCCCCATTCTGACCCTGCAGATGGAGCCCGTATGTCTCTCTGCTTAAGCAAGTGTGCCCAGTCTTCTCAGGTGAAGATTGATGGCCACGATATCTTCATGTACGGCTTCCCAATGCACCGAATGCGGTAGGATTTGTTCTGGTTTGACGCCATGCTCAAAATGCATTAAAGTAAGCATTAGTACATGCATAGATTCTTGTCAGCAAAATCTCTAAAATTCAGCATCGAGCTGTGGATTGCATGTATTTTGGACAAGGAAACTTTTTGTATTGTATTCAACAAATACTTGTTGATCGTATATTATGCTACAGCCTTGAGGTGTAAAGATACACCACATAGCTGAGAGTGTTCTGTCCAGTTGGCTTGGAGAGGCCGTGTCGGAAGGGCGGGGAGGGAGAGACCCTGCAGCAGTCCAGAGGGAGACACAGTTCAGAAATGTGCCCTGACAAGAGAAACTTTAGGGGTTTTTAAAGGATCATTTTTATTTGTTAAGCAATGTATTCAAATTTATCAAAAGTGACATTAAGTAAGTGTATCTTTAAAATGATATTGTTATCTAAAACATTTATTTAAAATATCCAGAAAGCCTGGCCGGGCATGGCTCGGTGGCTGAGCATCGACCTAGGATCCAGGCAATTGGGGTTTGGTTCCCCGAGTTGCGGGCTCGATCAATGACTCTCTCATCATTGATGTTTCTATCTCTCTCTCTCTCTCCTTTCCTCTCTCTGAAATCAATAAAGATATATTTAAAATAAATAAATAAAAGAAAATATCCAGAAAATATCTGGCCTAATTATGTACGTACATACTTCACATACAAAAGTAATAGCTTCCATATCATTTTGACATCAAATAAGTTAGAAGGTATTTTTTTGTTGTGGTGGTTTTTTGGTTTTTTGCTTGTTTAATGAAAGCAAATAAAGAAGGCTGAAAAGGACCAAGAGGCCTTATCAGTCTGATAAAGAGAAAATCTGGGATTTCTGGGGATGCTGTGAAGCACCCAGGCCCCAGTGGGTGGGTCTGGCATGTTGCCAACCAATTGTTTTGAACAAATTTCCTGCCCAAGGTCACAAGATCAGGGAGCCAGACATTTATTAATAAAAGGAATAGACACTGAGACAAAGAAAGGGAGTTGAGAGTAAGGAGTTATTCTAAATGAAAACAGTGATCTGAGATGCAATAACATTACTTAAAATAGGCATGCAAGAACAGAAAAGCAAGTGTAATCTAAAATACATTCCCTGAAAAGTTATTTGGATATTTTTTTAAATGCCTCTTATTGTCAAAACTCTCAAAAAGGTTGATTTTAACATTCCCAAATATTGCTGATAATACTTGTTATTCAAAGTAATATTGAAAATATATGGGAAATGGCATATCATCATCAAATCATATAGTCTGCAGCTTTCAGTAAAATACAATTGGAAGAAGTTTAAGTTGTTGCAAACAAACAGAATATTTGAATTCAGAGAACCAAGAGTTAAAAGGACTAAAACGTACATGGCAATTTTTTATTGGTTATTGTCTTCGAGGGGAGTAGGGGTAGGGTGACAGGATATAGGTGACTCTACACTTCTGGGTTAATCTGAATCACAATTATACATTCTATGTATTTAGAAAGCAATAAATTAGGTTTTTTAAAACTTATGAAATGAACAAACATATAAAGATGTTTAAAAATGCAAGAACCCCCCCCCCCAAAAAAAATGGCATTGGAGAAGATTTGATAAGAAAAACTAATTAAAAACAATAGCTGTAGCTGGAACCATACCTGCTCTCCCAGGCAGACCAGTCAGTGTTGAACTTCAGAACACGAGTGCCCTCTCGTGGCAAACATGAGTGTAGTTGAAATTTGATTCACTGCCACAGGGTGATCCAGGTTGCCTGATCCAATTCTGCTTCTTTTTCAGATTGAAATAGCGACAATGATGCCTTCAGGGAACAGAGAGCTCCTCACCCCACCCCCACAGCCAGAGGAGGCTGAAGAGGAAGAGGAGGAGGAGTCGACCCCCAGACTAATTGATGGTTCTTCCCCCCAGGAGCCTGAATTCACCAGGGTTCTGGGCCCACACACCAGTGAAGGTCAGGTCCATCAGTGTGGAACTGCAATTAAGTCCATTTGGTCATCCCTCTAAACTGCCAAGCTCCAAGTCCACAGGGAAGCCACATGACCCAAGGAGAAAGTTTTGCAATAGGCTAGGTTTGAAGCAGGAGATACACATGTATTTTATATTCAAATAAAAAATAGTTTTAATGATTCATCTTGGGCATGATGGAAACTTTCAAATAACCAAAGAGTTGGAGTGAAAACATTTGTCTGACATCATTACTCAAAACTTTTGTGGTTGATGGAATACATTTTTAGAACAAAGGATACCCTAGTAGCAAAGTCAGACTCTTTGTCTGAGAGGTCAGGCCACAGCAGGTCGGGTGATAAGGTTATTGTTGATGAATGACAATGGCGATGGTGATAATAATAATATTTTACATTGACTGAACACACGATATCTGTGGGCCATAATGCTCAGCACTTCACATTCTCTCATTTGAGTATTACAAACTCCCTGTGAAGGGGTTAGCATTAACCTTTCCATTACTACTGAGGTAAATAGCTCTAAAAGGGTGGGGACTTGCCAGAGATCACTTAGCCATTCATGTCACCGCTGGGTTTGAAGCTCTCCTGTTCTGATTCTTATTTGTGGAAAGTGGGCTTCTTCTCACTCAGTCCTAGGAGGTAGCAGAGAGAGGAAAGTGGTCCGTTACACTGAGTTCCATCTTGTATGGCTTAAAGGTGATCTCAACTAGAGCACTTTGTTAGAGAAGGAATTACTGGCGCTAAACATGACTCTATAATTTGTCTGTATTTCTTGTTAGAATTTATCAGTGTCATCCTTGGAGTTAGTGGGGTCACACCAAAATACTTCCTCTGTCTCTCTCTGTCTCTCTCTGTCTCTCTCTCTGTCTCTCTCTCTGTCTCTCTCTCTGTCTCTCTCTGTCTCTCTCTCTCTCTCACACACACACACACACACACACACACACACAGACAATGGCCTAGGGGGAGGGGTATAGAAAAATGAGTGGAATTTCCACTACGAAGATTTAGTCCTTATCAAGTATCTTTGTACTCCAAGCTCTGGAGATACAAAATTTACCTTAAAATGATTACTCTTCTCACAACTATTTCTGCCGAGAACAGGGAGACAGACATGGAAACAGATTTAGAGGCTATAAAGTGTTACAGGTGATATGAGAAAAGTCTGTAAAGAAAATACTGAGAGTAAAAGAGAGAAGAGAGCATTGAAACTGGCTTTGCAACCTGCTGGATATAGTAGTCTTGAGCAAGGCATTCAATGTTTTGGGTTTTTGGGCTCAGTTTTCTCATCTGAAAAGTGGGATGATAAATAATAGATCTGACTTCATAGTGTTTGTAAGGATTAAATCAATGAATTTAGTAACAAGCCCATAGGAAACATAATAAATGCTGATTCTCATTATTTTATTTTTGATAGAAGAGTTTATCTTTTGTTCACTTTCAACAAATTTTCCAGGGTGCACTGACGTGTCATTAACCACAGGCACTATGTTGCACAGCAGAGCTCTCGAACTTACTCATTTTCCATAGCGGAAACCTTACGCCTATTGAACAACAAACATCCATCCCCCCTCTCCCCTGCCCCTGGTAACCACCAATCTACTCTCTGATTCTATGAGTTTTTAACTAAAAGTTGTCTTTTGTAACAAGCTGCTTAGATTCCAGTCACTGAAGTGTTTTATGTACACTCTTTGAAGAGTCTCAGCAACACTATGCAGTAGGTATTGTTATTTCTGCTTTGTTAATAAGAAAACTGGCATCCCAAGACACTGTGAAAGTTGTCCACGGTCCTGGGGGTGGCACACACCTGTGCTGGGATGCAAACAGAGACCGCCAACCCCTAAGTCTTTCAGGAATACATCATATTCTCTCCACATAGCTAACTTTCTGTGGAACAGTAGGACACTCCACAGACAGAACCAGGACAATGTACACACAATGACAAGGAAATGTAAGTACCCAGGAGAAAGCCCTTAAAGTAGGGAAATTAAAGATCCTTAGAATGTTACTTATGTTTAAGTAATTTCAGATTCTTCAGAAGTTGATGGATCTGGCATGATGACTTATAGTTAGGTATTTTAGTGGATGGAGCCAGGAACAGCAGAAAAGCATAATGCCCATTTTTTTAGTCAAAATTATGGCTCCATAATGTCAGTTTTGAGAAAATATTAAAAAATCTATGACTTTTCCAGAACTATTTTGTCTCTAAAGTAGGTTGAGTATAATAAAGTTAAAATTTTAATTCACATTTTAATTTCAAGAGAAAAAGCATCACCAAAAATTCTAAATTTTAAAATTAAAATTAAATCTTATAAATTCATCAAAGTTATAGTTTGGAAACATTTATAACATTAAAAATCAAAATATCATATTTCAAATTATTAATACAAATTTCTAAAAATAATATTCTGAAGCCATATAAAGTAAGCTTCAGTTATGAATGGAAAAACTAGAATTAAATTATTAACTGATGTGAATATATAATTACTCAAAGAAATTACTGTTAAATTAAAACAGCCATGAATATATAGAAGGAAAAAAAGCCTTACTTTGAAAAATTACGATAAATGGCAAATATTAATTTGCCATTGATTGGGGAAATCAGTACGTATTAAATATTTTACAGATCCCCCTTAAATCTTTCTTTTAGATTTCCCATTCCTAAAATAGTTTTTATTCCTGAAGTTGTTATTGTAAATGATTTTCCTGTGTAGTGATAGCAACAAGACCGTAGTAAGCGCCTTGCTAGTTCTTTTTTGTAGGGCCAGTTGCAATGCTTAGCACGTTTTATTAAAGTACAGAATTGTTAGAATTAAGCTAAACAGAAAAAACACTGCTGAGTATGGCATCAATAAAAAATATGTAAGGTCTCTGAGTGAATGTTGTCCCCACTTGTCCGCAATCCAGTCCCCCTAGAAATTTGTTCTTTGGGAAACCAGGGCTCAGAGGCAGCCAGAGGGAGACAAGCCAGGAGCTGGGCCAGTCGCCTTCCGAGGTCCCCTTCTGTCTTCAACGCCTCCTCCTTTGGGTCCTCGCAAACCTTCTGCCTGAGCCAGTATCCCTCATTACACACAACACGAATCCGCCTTGTACAGCCCCCGCCACCTCTCCTCCCTGCCTTCTCGGTCAGATGCCCACAGCCTTGCCTCTGTCTGCTGCGGCTGTTTCCTCACCTCCCGCCTTCCCCCAGTGACTGTCTCCTGGCTTCCCGCCTCCCCACGCTGGAGCTCCTGCTGAGGCCTCCTGCAGCCACCGCAGGAACGAACCCTAAAGGCCTTGTAAATCCTTAATTTGCCTGACACCTCGGCAGCCTTGGTCATTTTCTATTCCTTTTCTTTCAAACTCTTTCTCCGTTTGGCCTCCATAGTATTGTCCTTGCTTCTCTGTCTTCCTTGGACGCGTATTGCCCTCTACAAGGCCACCAAGCAGGGAGTGAAGGAGGGATGGGGGGTGCAGGCGTATGTGTGATAGATGGAGAAAAAAGATGAATATGTTGAGATATAACCCAGCCTAGCAAATATCTTTTGGATCTGTTGCCTTTTCTGTCATGATTAACCTGGCGACCATCATCTTTCATCTAGACAGCTCTTCTCCACTCCTCCCATTGGCCCTCCCTCGGCTCCCACCACACCTTCCAGCAGAGCGATATCTTAACATGCAAACCTGACAATGCCATTGCCCTGCCCATCCTTAAGATAGGAATAAAATCTCTAACAAGCCTATCAGGCCTTTTCTGTTGTATCCTACACATTCCAATGCTCTCTACGCTGTAGTGACATGGACCATCTTTTAGTCCCTCTAAAGTGAAGGAACTGGGCACCAGCCTAACCAATTCCTTCTCTTCTTGCAGATTTCAACTCAGTTACCACCTTCTCAGAGAACCATTACTCTCAAACTGGATTTTATGCTCATGCGATATTTTATAACATTTACCACAGTCATCATTTCATATATTTGTGTGATTAACATGTATCTTGCATAGCAGATCATAAAATAGAAAGACTCTGTCTCTTTATACTCACCACTGTTTCACCAGCTAGCATGATGCCATTTACATAAAAGGATTAAAAAATACATGCTGAGTGAATTAATATTAGTGATTATAGCCCTATATTTTTCTTGAAGCAGATTTGGTTTCAGTGGGGTATTTAATTATTGAACCAAAGACCTAATAAAACATTGCATGTGATGCTTTAAATTTATAAAAACCACAATATTAATGTTAGCATTTGAAGATAGAATTTCTAAGTATAAAAGCAACAACTGTGCAGTATCCACTCAGTAATTTAAAATAAAATTTTAAAACATTAAAAAAAATTTACTAATTACTGAGTCAGTTTAATTGGTATATTTGACTAGCATTACATTTACAGAAAACTGTGTAAGAAAATATGAAATCTGGAAATAATCTAAGTGCCCATCAGTAGATGAATAGATAAAAAAATTGTGGTATATTTACACAATGGGATACTACGAAGCCATAAAAAAAAAAAATCTCTTACCCTTGGAGGGACCTGGAAAGTATTATGCTAAGTAAAATAAGCCAGTCAAAGAAAGACAAGTATCACATGATCTCACTTATATGTGGAATCTAATGAACAAAATAAACTAATGAACAAAGTAGATCCAGAGACATTGAAGCAGGCAACACACTGACATATTTCAGAGGGAAGGGGGAGGGAGGTAGAAAGAGATTAACCAAAGAACTTATGTGCATATATGCAGAGCCCATGGACAGACAATAATGTGGGGAAGGCCTAGGGGGAGAGTGGGAGTGGGGTGGAGGAGGTCAGTGGGCGAAAAAGAAGGGACATTGCAATACTTTCAACAATAAAGATAAAGTTAAAAAAAAAGAAAATATGAAATATAACAGGATTGTGTGAATGAGACTCTCATCTTGTTTAAGAAACATCGCTAATCACATTGTTAGAAATTGCTTTTGTTACTGAAGTATAATTATTTGCCTCTATCTTTTTAGATTTCCCAACTTGCCTTCTGTGTACCTGTATAAGTACCACTGTATACTGTGATGACCATGAACTTGATGCTATTCCTCCACTGCCCAAGAACACTGCTTATTTCTATTCCCGCTTTAACAGAATTAAAAAGATCAACAGAAATGACTTTGCAAGCCTAAGTATGGATAACAGCACTAATGGCCTTCTCTCCTTCACAGACTTCCTGAAGTATTTTGCACTGTAAAATGTTGGTTCTGAAGATGAGAGCTGATAATAACATATGACTCCTAAATCAATTATTTTTTTCTTATTTAACCATTTAAAGATTTGCTTTAATTATGATTAAAAAAATGATGAATAATTAAAGGTCATCATGAACCTATATAGTTGTTGATATTTTCAACTAAATAAAAATCATAAATAACTTTATTTTATCGGCAATAACTTATTATCATGTTATGACATTAAGAGTAAAATGTCACTGTCATATATTTATGAGAATTTTTTTCTTTGAAGAGACTTCCATTAAAGCACAATTACTTTATGATTGAAGAATGCAGGCCTACATTGTGACATTATAATTGCTGCCAACATAGAAGAATTTTTGTACTTGTCTTCATAAAGTGTTTTAATCACTTCAAATTTCTTTTTAATGCCTTTTTATTTTAATACTAACGTATCTTTGACTAGTAGAAAATCCAACAATCTGTCATCCCCGAGGAAAACATTTTAATAGTAAAATCCAGGTATAGTTTATTTAGATTATCAGGAAAAGACCAGTTATTTTAAATATAATGTGCCAGTTTATTTGCTAAAGCTATACTTTCTTATAATTGCAAAAATATGAGTAGTGTTTGGAGGAAACACATTGTTCTGAAGTACCTAGAAATAATTCTTTAACTAACTGGCCATTGCTAATTAAATTCCTGTTTATGTTTCCTTGTGTGTGGGAAATTTATATTCACATTTTATGTGCACTATGCATTTCACGAATAATTAACTACTTCCTTCACTTTTCCTTCTAGGTGATTTAAGGAAGATTGATCTGACATCAAATTTAATATCTGAGATTGATGAAGATGCATTCAAAAAGCTGCCTCAGCTCCGGGAGCTAGTCCTACGTGACAATAAAATACGGCAACTCCCCGAGTTGCCAAGCACTCTGACGTTCATTGATGTCAGCAACAACAGGCTTGGAAGGAAAGGCATAAAGCAAGAAGCATTTAAAGTGAGTTTTAAGTTCGGGCATAAAAGACTTTCACCTTCCCATCCCATTTTCGGTCAACGACTAGCCTTTTTATTTCTATAAAGGAATTCACTTGGATGAGACTTTTATCTCATAAAGTAAACTTTACAACACTACTTGTCATACTTTTGGGAAACGCTGTGCTCTGGTGCATTTTGAGGTTGGTCAGGCACCAAGAACGGAAAGCAGAAATGGACTGAGAAGTGGGTGGCTATCTGGAAACAGTGTCAGGCAGATAATTGATATTTACCAAAAGCTCCACTGGAGGAGAGCATTGCATGTGGTTAAAAGGCTAACTACTTTTACAGGATTTGATTGGTGCCTTGGGGAGAGAAGGCTTCTAAGTTATTTTATAAGAAGGATGGATTCAGTTAATCTTATGAATTTTGTGTTCTAAGTGAAGGAAGCAAGCTTGGGGCTAGAGAGACTTGCTTGGAATAACAGTGTAGAGTCTGAGAACACTAACCACTGGCTTTCTTACTCATTTTTACTCTGTTCAAGCTGCTCCTCTAAATATATAGTGAACAAAATAAATTAAAAATACTGTTTGAAAGGACATCACATTACTTCCTTGGTGGCTAGAGTGTCTTGTGGACCCATTAGCACTGGGCAATGGTGGAAGTTTTATCTACCAGCCATCCTGTAACACCACCTTGTTGGGCAAGAGAGTCAGGGCAGAGAGAAGTGTACTTTCTCCACTCATCTTTTGTTGGCACAGGTGCTGCTGAGTCACGCTGTGTCCTGTGGTATTTGGCTACAGTGGACCTGTTATTGTCTAAAAGTTTTCTGTCTTGCTAGGATGTCCTTTCCCTGAAACTCAGGCTAGAAAGATAAGTCTTTCGTTGGGGAGAAATTCTCATTTCTCCATCCCTATAACATGAAAGAAATTCTTCATCCCTATAATAGGCCTCACCAAAATCCTCAAAATTCTAGTGCAGAATAGAGAATGAGAAGTCAGTGACTTACTTAAATTGAGAAAGTTAAAGTGGATAAAGCAAGTTTCTTCCTAGAGCTTGAGAAACATGTTCCATTTTCATCAAGAGATATCTACTTGTCCTCAGTTCTTCCAAAAGTCATTTGAATTGTCTAGTAACTTAGAAAACTGATCTACCTTAACTTTACTGAATGAGACTTGGTCGGGCATGTGGTGTTTTATAAATAATTGCATGGGTAGGGAATGGAAAATACAACTGTGGCACCACTAATTTCTACTAAGTCCCTACATTTGAAATGTTTCCAGGATATGTATGACCTCCATCACCTCTACCTCACAGATAACAACTTGGACCACATCCCTCTGCCACTCCCAGAAAACTTACGGGCCCTTCATCTCCAGGTAGGCTTCTACTAGTAAAGTATGCCCCACAGCTCCATGACTGCAAGGTATATGCACATTCATGACCCTAATACTGATTTATTTGTAATAACGTTAGATTTTACTTTCATTCTTTGCCAAATAATAATGCATTTTTTGGCACACAAATTTTCTTTTGAAAAAAATTCAGAAGTTTTATCTGCTGAGGAAGTGTGTAAGGATTAGAAATGGAAGGGAAAAAGACAGAAAAAAGTCTCATTTGATGTCTAGTTTTCAGGGGGGGAAATGTCAATTTTAGCCATTTGAGTTTTAGCTTTAGGTTTTATCTGTTGAATTAAATCCAGTCCTAGGGCATTCTATCTGCTGAGCAATGACAGATTTCCCTCTTTCTGCATTAAGAAAATGCAGCTTTTTCAGATTTTAAATGCCACTAAGCTACATTTTATCTTTAAAGTAATGAATGAAAACACATTTTCAAAAATGCTATGATCTAATAATTTCTAAATATATTTCATTTAAATATACTAAAAATATGTTCAATTAAAACAAACATATTTGTTGCTAAAACAAAGAGGATAAATTATTTTTTGTTTTTGTTTGTTTTTTTATCTTTATTGTTGAAAATATTACAGATGCCCCCTTTTTCCCCCATTGATCCCCTCCACCCCTCATCCACTCCACCCCCAGGCCTTCCACAGATCAATGTCTGTGTCTGTGGGTTATGCTTATAAACATGTAAGTTCTTTGATTAATCTCTCCCCACCCTCACGCCCTCCCTGCCTTCCCTCTGAGGTCCCTCAGTCTGTTCCATGCTTCTATGTCTCTGGATCCATTTTGTTCATCAGTTTATTTTGTTCATTAGATTCCATATATGAGTGAGATCATGTGGTACTTGTCTTTCTCTGCCTGGCTTATTTCAGTTAGCATAATACTCTCCAGGTCCCTCCATGCTGTCCCAAAGGGTATGCGTTCTTTCTTTTACAGCTGCATAGTATTCCATGGCGTACATGTACCACAGCTTTTTTATCCACTCATCTACTGATGGGCACTTGGGCTGTTTCCAGATCTTAGCTTTTGTAAATTGTGTTGCTATGAACAAAGGGGTGTATAATTCTTTGTGACTGGTGTTTTGGGTTTCTTAGGATATATTCCTAGAAGTGGGATCACTGAGTCAAATGGCAGGCTAATTTTTAATTATTTGAGGAAACTCCATACTGTTTCCATAGTGTCTGCACCAGTCTGCATTCCCACCAGCAGTGTACTAGGGTGTCCTTTTCTCCACACCCTCGCCAGCACTTGTTGGTTGATTTGTTGATGGAGCCATTCTGACAGGTGTGAAGTGATACCTCATTGTGGTTTTAATCTGCAAGAGAAACAAAGGAGAAAGTAAAACAGGATGGCATCAAAACAAAAAGCTTCTGCACAGCAAAAGAACCATCAACAAAGTAAAAAAGGGAGCCCACTGCACGGGAGAACATATTTGCCAAGGACACATCTGATAAAGGGTCAATTATTCTCATTTCAGATATAACTTTTGGTCTTCAGCTATAATCAACTTTCTGTAATAATTTCACCTGTTGTGTGGAATAAATCTGTAGATAATACATCCATTGTGAGCTCAAAGAAACAATATCATAGTGAAATATTACAATCTTTTAAGGAGGTAATTTTGCTATGTAAGAGTAAGTCTCTGATTTCTATGTTTTCCCTGTGGATTCTGTAAATATTTACCCCTGTGTTGTTTCTTTTATTCTATTAATATAATCTCCATGCTTTCTTGGTGTCCTTTTATGTATATATGATTCTGAGTCTTAGATCCCTGTCCCTTTTGAAAGTTTTTCTAGTAGTATTTCCTTCATTACTTCCTTTCCATTCCTCATCCTGATTTGGATGGCTCTGTCTTGGGAGTGTTTTTTAATGTATATGACTGGAAGGAGGATTTTCAAAGACATCTTCAAGGAAATTTTATAATATGTTTTGTAATTATGAATTTAATTTTATTATTATTGTCTGTGATGATATTGACTCTATAAAGTGACCAGGTCTCTGATGTTATAGTTAAACAAAATGTGTTTGTGTATACAATATATTTCTTTAAAAATAATTGTGTGCTCTGGCCAGGTAGCTCAGTTGGTTGGAGTGTCGTCCTGATGCACCAAGGTTGTAGGTTTGATACCTGGTCAGGGCACATACAAGAATCAACCAATGAATGCATAAAAAAGTGGATGTTTCTCTCTCTCCCTGTCCCCTTCCCTCCCCCTTCCTCTCTCTCTCTCTGAATCAATAATTTTTTTTTTTAATTTAAAAAATAAAATAAAAGTAATTGCTTTGGGGACTTCCAGTCAAAATAATGGAATAGGTAAATACAGTATTCTCATCCTCTCACAACCACATCAAAATTACAACTAAAATATAGAACAACCATCATTCGGAAACACCTGAAATCTAACTGAACAGAAGTCCTATAACTAAGGATACACATATGAACCCACATCAAGACTGGTAGGAAGAGCGGAGATTCAGAATGAGCTGGTCCCACATCCATATGTCATGGTTAAAAATCAGGAGGGATAGCTTGGCTGTGGAGGTTCCCCACTGAGGAGCAAGGGGTCCCAGCCCCACACCAGGCCCATCAGTGTTCCAGTGCTGAGAAGAGAAGTCTCCAAAACTTCTGGCTGTGAAAATCAGAGGGGATTGTGGCTGAATGAGACAAAGGGCTGCTAGAGTCCCAAGTATTTATTTATTTATTTATTTATTTATTTATTTATTTATTAGTTTTTAATGTTTTACTGATTTTAGAGAGAGAGGGAGAGAGAGAGGGAAACATCAATGTGAGAGAGAAACATTGATTGTTTGCCTCCCATACACACCCGAACAGGGAATTGAACCCGCAATCTGGGCATGTACCTTGATGGGGAATCAAACCCACAAACTTTTGGTGCCTGGGATGACACTCAACCAACTGAGTCATACCAGCCAGGGTCCAGGCAGTTCTTCTTAAAGGGTCCATGCACCAACTGGCTCACTGACCGACTCATTCACTCTGACTTCCAGCACTGGGGCAGCAGATCAAATGGCACCAAGAACATAGGGGAGGAACTGAATTGTTTGGCAACAAAGTGAGGGCTTGAGGGGCAGCTTTCTCCCAGACAGGACTGCTGGCAGAAGCTATTGTTCCTTGCTGAGCCTTCCCCTACAGAGCCAGCAGGCTGGTGTGGTATCTGAGTCTCCGAGAACTTTGCTAACACTGTTTGTCCCACCTTGGTGATTCATCGAGATCCCACCCCACCCAATTTACAGGCTCACCCAAGCCATTTCCAGTGGCTATTCCATACAAAACAGCCTGTCCTGGCTTATGCTGCAGACTTCCCTAAAATCTTTCAAACAAACAGCATCTGGACTCAGAGTGCCCTGTACTTCTTGCTAAGTGACTCCAGGGCTGGCACTAGCAGCAGCTGGCCTTGGTTTGCAGCTTTTCCTTTCCCGAGAGCCTCCAAGCCTAGCACCAGTGGAAGCCATCTGTATATTGTTTGGTAGCTCATGTTGGTGGCCCCCGGCAGGGTACAGGAGGCAGCTGACCTTGATCTGTACTTCCCAGGAGGCCCCAGAGCCAGTGCACCTGGTGAACAGCTTCAGACCACACTGAAGCATGACTCAACTATCTCCACAACAACACACTCAAGGAGTGGACTCAGTGAGCATCAGAGTCCCCCTGAATGAGTCCTGCTCCATGGGGTTATCTCTTGCATAACAAATCCTCCACAATGGTTTTGGCTAGTCTTGTAGCCATTCGACCTGAGGGTAAACACCTCCCATTGATGTGCCAACACCAATCAAGGTTCATCTACAAAAGGAGGGTATGTACAGTTTCCACACGGGCCACAGCTGGAGCTCCCAGCTTGGGTGACTGGGGATACTATGCCACCGAATCCCACAGAACACCTACTACATAAGAACATTCTACCAGACCAAGAAGCATAATGGGTCTACCTAATACATAGAAACAAACACAGGGATGCAGCCAAAATGAGGAGAAAAAGAAACATGTTCCAAATGAAATAAAAAGAGCAAACTCCAGAAAAGAAGTAAACAAAATAGAGACAGACAATCTACCAGATGCAGAGTTCAAAACACTGGATATAAGGAAGGTCAATGATCTCAGTGAGAACTTTAGCAAAGAGATAGGAAACATAAAATTGGAGATAGAAGCCATCAAAAAGAACCAGTCAGAAATAAAGACTACAATAACTAAAGTAAAAAATACATTAGAGGGAATCAATAGTAGATTAGATCAAGCAGAGGATCACATCAGTGAACTGGAGAGTAAGGTAGCAGAAAACACCCAATCGTAACAGCAAAAAGAAAAAAAAAAATCCAGAAAAATCAGGATATCTTAAGGGAACTCTGGAACAACTTCAAACATTCCAACATTTGCATCATAGGGATACTGGAAGGAGAAGAGAGAAAGCAAGGAATTGAAAACCTATTTGAAAAAATAATGACAAAAAATTTTCCTATTCTCACAAAGGAAATAGACATACAAGCCCTGCAAGAGTGTCCCAAACAAGATAAACCCTAAGAGGCTCACACCAAGACACATCGTACACATCACGTCTACTTGGTTGTCTAAAATAAAAGAGACAGACAATCACAAGTGTTGTCTAGGATACAGGGAAAACTGGAACTCTCATACATTGTTGGTAGAAGTGTAAAATGGTGCAGCTACTTTGGAAAACAATTTGATAGTTCCTCAGAATGTTTAACATAGAGTTACAATATGACCCAGCATTTCAACTGGTATCTAGTGAAGAAAATTGAGCATATATCCACACAAAATTTGTACACAAATGTTCATTGAAGCATTATTTATGTGAGTCAAAGAGTGGAAACGTTTCAAATTCCCATTAACTCAGTAATGGATAAGTAAAGAGATGGTATATCCATAAAATGAAAAATAAACGAGCCATTTTTTAAAAAGCACTCATTCATACTACAACATGTATGAATCTTGAAAATGCAGTTCATAGTGAAAGATCCTAGTTACAAAAGGTGATATATTGTATGTGAAATGTCCAGATTAGAAAATTCATATAAACAGTAGTTTAGAAATTGCCAGGGTTAGAGATAGGGGGAAAGGAGGTTATTGCTAATATCTATGAGGTTTCTTTGGGGGATGTTTAAACTGTTCTGACATTAAATTGTGGAGATGTTTAGACAGATCTGAAAATATACTGAAAACCACTAGACTATATGCTTAAAAGGGGGGAATTTTATGGTTTGTGAAATATATTCCACAAAGCTGTATTTTATCATCACTCCAGGATATGTTTATGTTTTTATTGATTTTAGAGAGAGAGAGACAGAGAGAGAGAAACATCAATGTCAGAGAGAAACGTCGACCAATTACCTCCCATCTGCTCCCCAACTGGGGATCGAACCCACAACCTTTTGGTGTACAGATAATGCTCCCACCAACTGAGCTGGGCCTGCTCTCTCCCTGATATTTGCTCACTGTCTTTCTCACTTCACTTCAGCCATGTTGACTCTTCCTCATTCCTGAACATTCTCTGCTAATTGCTCAGAATTTGAAATTGGTGTTTTCCATGCCTGGGTTACTCTAACCTTGGGCTCTTTCAATGCCCGTGACTTCTTGCCATTCCGTTCTGAGCTCCGTTGCTATCCCTTAAGATAACTTTCCACAGCCATCATCCTTTCTTCATAGTCTTAATCTTTTTGGAAATAACTTTTTTTCCCTGTAAATTTGTTTTTTCTCTTCCTTATCTTATATTCCCAGTTCTGAAGTATAAGCTCAAGAAGGGCAAGGACGTGTCTATTTTGTTAATCAATTTGTCCCATTGCCTGGAAAGTGCTTGATGTATAATAATCACATAGTGTGGATTTTGGATGAGAGAAGAAACAAAAAAATAAAAACGTGGTGAAGCAAAATGCACTGTTATTAATCAGTCCTAAGAATATGTTATATATTGTTTTATAATTTATTTTCACCTCTTTAGAATAACAACATTCTGGAGATGCACGAAGATACTTTCTGCGACATTAAAAACTTGACTTACATTCGTAAGGCACTAGAAGATATCCGATTGGATGGAAACCCCATCAATCTGAGCAAAACTCCTCAAGCATACATGTGCCTACCTCGTTTGCCGATTGGGAGCCTTGTCTAAATCAGACAATGATTAGCTTTATGATGCCTACTACAGCGAAGCAATTCTTACTGCTCTCTTCACAAACAAAACTCAGCATGATACTACTTTCACATTGTGTTCGGAAAGGTGATATTGTTACATAAAGTACAACTCAAAGTTTTAAAATATGATGGCAGTTAGGTAATCTTAGAAAACACCACACATCAGGAGTAAATCAAAAGGTGTACAGCTAGTGCAAAACTGAATGATAGAAAATATTTCCTAGATATTTCTATAAATCACATGTAATTTGCAAGTTTTAGGGATTCGTATTCTCTGTAACTTCAAATTAAGCATATAAGAAACAGAAATTTAAAATGAACACTTTAGGATTATTACCAAGATTTAGATGTTTTTAATTAAACTTTCCTATTTCTTTTTTTTCCCCCCACAAGTGCATGTTTCTATTTCCAAATCCATTGAGGAAAATAATAAAAGTATTTAAAAACTATAATGGTCTTGTGTGAAAACATTCATTATAATTACAATATGCAAATAACCATAGCAATTATGCACAGAGCTTCAGTTTTTTAATAATAATATTTTATCATCTTACAGACCTGTCAACTCATTTTAGACCTTTGCTAAAATGACTAGTTATTTTGGTGTATTTCTGTGCCTGTCAAAAAATTAAATATAAAAATGGAAAATATAGATGATGATATGATAACACACTAGGGAAGGAGTCAGAAATGCCTTCTGAAGAAAGTTGATCTTCCTGAAATGTGTGATCCTAATGCAGGAATATGGTTAAAAGCTGAAAGAAAACAAAGAATATACAATGAAAGGTGAATGCACTTCCAGCTGCAAAACCCACGTTCCACTTCCTACAAACAATTATTCAATGGTTTCCTGCAGACCTTTATAACGTTTTCCATAAGAAACAAAAACTTTCATATAAGCAATTTCCCCTTTTTTACACAAATATACATATTCATGTACTACATGTCTACACCTGTCACCATTATGTACGTATCTATCCACGTAAACATGGATTTTTAAGTATGAAAGATAATCACTATTCTGAACCTTGCTTGTTTCACTTCAAAATATTTTTTAGTGATTATTTTCCTTAGCACATACAGTTCTACTGATTCTGCAAATCACTTATCAGCCTGTTACACAGATATACATTTTGTTTTTGTGTATTTACACTAAAATTGCAAAGAATTTCCTTCTGTGGATATAAATATATTTGTGCATATGTGAGAGTATATCTACAAATAAGTTCATAGAAGTGGAATTCTGGATCAAAGAGTATATTATTTTTATTATTTATTTGTTTATTTATTTTTTTTAATCCTCACTTGAGGACATTTTTTCAATTGCTTTTCAGAGAGTGGAAGGGAGAGAGAGAAACAGATGTCAGGGAGACACATCAATTGGTTGCCTCCTGCATGTGTCCCGACCGGGGCTGGGATCGAGCCTGCAACCCAGGTACATGCCCTTGGCTGGAATCAAACCTGGGGCCCTCAGTCCGCAGGCAGACACTCTATCCATTGAGCCAAGCCAGCTAGGGGGAAAGAGTATATTATTTTAAATTTTAATAAATGTTACTAAATTGCCCTGAAAAATGTCTAATCCGCTTGTATTTTCACCAACAGTCTGAGAGAATGCATGATTCCCTCCAACCTCGCTAAAATGGTTTAATATAAAACTTTTATCATTGCATAATTTATTTCTGAATTAATAAAGTAAAAAGTGAAACAGTTGGCAATGTATCTCCGACAATATTTTTATTTTCAACTATCTCTTTTACGCAAATATATTTCTGCATCTAAATCATCTAAATTTTTTTTCATTGCTCCTTATCATTCATCATATGCCATTATTTGTAGACAATGTAAGTAAATCTAGACTTTCTGTAGTGCAACAATTAAAGAGAATTGTTTTAATGTGTCTCCACTTTAGCTGCATAAGCATTTCCTTGTTTCAATTTAAAAGGATGAACACAGCCTGGCCAGGTGTGGCTGAGCAGTTGAGCATCGACCTAGGACCCAGGAGATCGGGGTTCGATTCCCGGTCAGGGCACATGCCCGGGTTGCGGGCTCGATCCCCAGTTGGGGGCGTGCGGGAGGCGGCCGGAGGCAGCCCATCAATGACTCCCACATCACTAACGTTTCTCTCTCTCTTTCCCACTCCTTTCCTCTCCCTGAAATCAATAAAGATATATTTAAAAATAAAAATAATAAAAGTATGAACACAAATATGTATTTGCTTGAGACCTATGAAGAAAACCTAATCATGCATTTAATCATAAGTTGTATACCTCAAAAGTTTAAAAACTTATGATAACCATCAAGCCATCAAGCTCTACAATCTGATATTTAGAAATTGATCAAAAGAGCTTTTGTTCTAACTTTTTAGATAAACTCCCTCATAACTACATTATTGTGAATTGGACTAAAAGTAGAATTTAATTCTAACATTGTGACTTTATATAATGGTTTGCTATGGCTGCCTAAAAAAAATTGCCCACAAAGTTAACAGCTTAAACAACACCCATTTATTAACTCACAGTGTGTGTAGGTCAGAAACTCAGCTGGGTTCTGTGCTTAGGATTTCACAAGATTGAAATCAAAGTGACATCTGGGCTCTTCACAGAAGATACGAAAAATAGTCTACCTCCACTAGTTCACTCAGTTTGTTGGAAGACTTTATTTCTTGAGGTCCCCCATTTCTGGCTGTTAGCCAAGGGCCCCTCTTATCTTCTACAGGAGGCCCACCTTCATCATATGGCCCTTTCCATCTTCAGAGCCAGCGATATAGCATGTTGAATCCTACTTGTGCTTCTAATCTCGTTGATTTCCTCTTCTGCTGCTGGCCAGAGAAAACTCTCTGCTATTAAAGTGCCCATTTGATAGACCTCATTTTAAGGTCAACTGATTTGGGACTTTAACTACATCTGCGGTTTTTAAATTTTTAAAAATTTCTTAGGGTGACATTGCTTAATAAATTATATAGGTTTCAAGTGTACAATCTACAATACATCATCTGTATATTGCATTGTGCATTTACCACCCAAAGTCAAAATCCCTTCCATCATCATATATTTGACCCCCTTTACCATTTTCTACCTCCCACCACTCCCCTTTGCCTCCGGTAACCACCACAGCGTTGTCTCTGTCTATGAGTTTTTGTTAGCTTGTGGTTTGTTTGTTGCTTTCAGTTTTATATATGACATATGAGTGAAGTCATAGGGTTCTTGACTTTTTCCATCTGACTTATTTTGCTTAGCATGATATTCTCAAGATCCATCCGTGTTGACTCGAACAGAAGTATCTCATCCTTTCCTAGGGCTGAGTAGTATTCCATTGCCTATCTGTACCCCATCTTCTTTATCCAGTCCTCTATTGAGGGACACTTAGGTTGTTTCCACATCTTGACCACAGTGAATAATGAAATAGGGGTACATGTATCGTTATGAATAAGTGTTTTCAAATTTTTCAGGTAGAACTGAGAAGAGGGGTTGCTGGGTCCTATGGTAATTCTACTCTCAACTTTTTTTGAGGAACCTCCATACTGCTTACCATTGCAGCTTTGCAATTTGCTTTCTAAGATCTCTGCTCACTGGTTATTCAAACATTTGTTTGGGCACTGCTCTTGTACCTAGATAAGTGTTTAAATAATCATAGAACAGAGGTCTTGAAAAGACATCTTTAAAATTCTGCCTACTACTATCTCCAAATCCTAGGAGAATTAAGGAAATGGTGATTCCCCATAGACTACGACCTTCTTTCTCTACCCTTAAATCTTCCTAGAAATATATACAAAATATCGGTAGTGGCATTTATAATGAAAAGGAAATAGTAACATTTAATGAAGCCATTTTACTACTATATTTCTAAGATAAAAGTTATTCTCTATATGGACGAAAGAACATACTAAGAACATCACTAACTTTTCAGTTTTGTATGCCAATGAGGCAGCCAAATAGATGATTTGGTTTTGAATCATTTGTTATAGCTTAAGGAAAGAAACTGCATTAATCTTTAGCAAAATTCAGAATTTTAGCAAAATTCTCAATGCTAGCACATTGCTAAGTTATTTTTAACATATAGACACATAGTTTTAGTCAAAACTATCTTCTAGTGTTACTTTTACCTGCATTTGTGGGAAATATGAGGGAAAGTAACATGGAGGAATGAAAAATCATCTGCTAGATCTCACCATGTATGCACTTTCACAAGGTTAAATGATTAACACGGACAGTAGACAAATCGGTAGCTCCCAGAATGCCCATAGCATTATTGTGGCAACTTTGCACAGTGTTAATTTATTTAAAATATTAGGAGCCACAGAACACCATTGCTATAAAGAAGAAGACAGTGAACTAAAAGGGGCTTTACAAGAGTATGCCTCAGTCAGTAGTGTTGAAAATAGTTTTTAGGCCTTGAGTTTAACTTTGAAGTATACTAAATGTTATTTTAAAGTTAGTCCATAAATATACACACATTGTTATAATAGCAACCAAGTTTTGGACACAAACTATGTACCGGGCATCTACTAAGGTGTTCTGCATGTATTTATTCACAACATCTTAGGCGTTGGGGATATGAATGACTATGCTGAAGCCTTACCTCCCAATGTGACGGTATTTGGAGATGGGGCCTTTGGGAGTTCAGTTAGGGTTAGCCAAGGTGATGAGGGCGGGGTTCTCGAGGTGGGATTAGTGGACTCATAAGGAGAGGAAGAATAACAGATTGTGTGTGTGTGTGTGTGTGTGTGTGCACGTGAGCAAATGTGTACACTAAAGCGAGGCCATATGAGGACATAGTGAGAAGTCAGCACCTTCAAGCCAGGAAGAAGAGAGCTCCCACCAGGAATTAAATCAGCTATGATCTTCATCTTGAACTTCCAGCCTTCAGAACTCAGAAATAAAATTCTATTGTTTAAGCCATCAGTCTATGATATTTTGTTTTGGCAGCTTAAACAGACTAATATATATACCAAGCTCAGTATTATCTTTTTGCATATCACAGTGCCTTCCAAATGGCCCAGGATCATTCAGTCATGTTTGAAGAAATGTTTCTGGGGTTGAGTAGTCCTCCAGATACCTGGCCTCTGGAAGATCAGAAGGTTGGGATGAGTGAGATGCGTAGGACCATGAGGGTAAAGGGAGAATCCCAGGGCAGCGCTAACTTACTCATTAGGCACAGTTAGCACAGTGCCTGGGGCTCATGATAATTTTAGGGATCTATGCAAATATCTTCACTTTTTTCAATAAAAAGGAAATATGACTATAATAATAATGTACATGCAATAAAGAATCTAGGCTGGAATATGTTAATCTTTATAGCAACGAGACAAACTAGAATTTTTATTTTATTTTTATTTTTTATGGAGGAAAGGGCCCATGAAAGTCCTTCTCCGCAGGAACATTATTGATGATCTCAGATTCCCCCAGGAAGTAACAAAGAATACCTCTCTGTTCTCACAGCCTTCTCAGTA